TCCGCGAATGGATCGACTCCGTGCTGGCGGCCAACTGAGGCCCCACATAAAGTTCTACTCCCCTAAGACTTCTGTTTGTCCTTGCTGCAGCCCTGGGCTGTGCACGGCTGGTGGGGAGCAGGGCGTGTGGGTGGATTTGGGGATACCAACGGAGGTGTGGGGACACCTGGGTGGGTGTGGGGCTTTAGCTGGCTGGGCATGGAGACACCAGATTGGGCATGGGAACAACTATGTGAGCGGAGACAGGGGAATGTGCCTGCTGTATGGACGGCTGGCTGCAATGGCGTGGGGCCCACCAGGCGAGCAGCACTGCTCTCTGACCCTGACACGCAGGGCAGGGCCGTGTGGCTGCGGTCAGATAACGCCGTGCAGGCCTCTGTTCAGTGCCTGGAGCCACCTTAACGCTGGGCGGGAGGGGACTGGGGAACACGGGGCCATGCGCAGCCCCGGGCACAGCTCCAGGCCCAACATGGCCCTGCGGCACGCACTGCGGCTGGTGGGGGCCGTGGGGCGGCGCGGGTGCTGCAGCCAGGTGGGGTGGGACGGGGGCTGCGAGGGGTCCCCTCACACGCTGACCCCGACCGCATGCTGACCAGACCCCCTCCCGCAGCACCCGCTGCCCCCCGGCCTGCTGCAGGCCCTGCGCTCCGTGGCGGGGGACCCCAACGTGTCGGTGGCGGAGGCGGTGCGGCAGCAGCACGGGCACGATGAGTCCATGCACAGGTGGGGCTGGGGGTGGCGCCGGGGGGCCACGCTGCACCTTGGGGCCGGCGATGAGAGCCATGCCCCACGCCAGGTGCGCACCCCCCGATGCCGTGGTGTGGCCCCGAGACGTGGAGCAGCTGCAGGAGATGGTGGCCCTCTGCTACCAGCACCGCGTGCCCATGGTGCCCTTCGGCACCGGCACCGGCCTGGAGGGCGGTGTCAACGCCGTGCAGGTATGCAGCCCCCAGCCTCCCCCAACGCCCCCACCGCCTGCTGCTGCCCGTGCCATGCTGTGCTGTGCCAGGGCGGTGTCTGCTTCGACCTGAGCCGCATGGCCGCCATCTCGGAGCTGAGCGTCGAGGACTTCTCGGTGGCGGTGGAGCCTGGAGTCACCCGCAAGGCTCTCAATGCCCATCTGCGTGGCACTGGGCTCTGGTTCCCCGTCGGTACTGGGGGTGCAGGGCAGCATGGGCTGACACTCGGGGCTGGATCGAGGGGTGCTGGGAGCATTGGGAATGCTGGGAACAATGGGGTGGCGGGGGATGTGGGGAGAACTTGGGGCGCTGCGGTTGTCCATGTGGCCAGGGGTGCAGGCAGCGCTGGGTACACTGGGATGCCAGAGCTCCCCATGGGCACTGCGGTGCTGGGAGCACTGGGAGGGCGGGGGGTGGCTGCAGAGAGCTTGGAGCACTTGGAGCGCTGGGGTTGCCTGTGTGGCCAAGGGTGCTGGGGGTACTGGGGGTACTGGGGTGTCTGGGGAGAACCTGGAATACTGGGAGCATTGGGATATTCCATAGGGCCAAGGATGCTGGGAGCACTGGGGTGGCTGGGGAGATTTTGGGATACTGGGAACATGGTCACATTCCATGTCGCCAATGGTACTGGAAGCACTGGGAGCACTGGGAAGCCATATCATAGGGACAAGGGCACTGGGAGCTGTGGGATGGCTGGGGAGATCTTGGAGTGCTGGGAGCATTGGGATATTCCATGGGGCCAAGGGTGCTGGGAGCACTGGGATGGCTGGGGAGATCTTGGAGTGCTGGGAGGACTGGAAGAACTGGGGTTGTCCATGTTGCCAGGGGTGCTGGGAGCACTGGGAGCAGTGGGATGGCTGGGGCTGCTGGGAAGAACTGGGAGCACATAGAGCACTAGGAGCACTGGGGTTGCCTATGTAGCCAAAGGTACTGCAAGCACTGGGAGCGCTGGGATGGCTGGGGCTGCTTGGGGACTTTGTTTATTGTGGGCATTGGGGTTGCCCATAGGGCCAGTATTGCTGGGAGCACTGGGAGGGCTGGGGCTGATGGGGAGCACTGGGATTTCCCATGTGACCAAGGGTGCTGGGAGCACAGGGGTGTATGGAAGTGCCCGTGGGGCCAGAGATACCAGGAGACAAGGTGTGCTGGCAGGCTCTGGGCTGCTAGGGATGCTGGGGAGGCCCGCAGAGCTGGGTGCTGTGGAGAATGCTTGGTGCAATAGAGGCAGGCATGGGGTGGGGGTGCCCAACGGCTGGGAGTGGCGGGGTCCCAGGGGTTCCCAGCACCAGGGGTGCCACGTGCTGGTGGTGCCGCTGACCCCCGAGCACACTGGCTCCCCTGGCCCCACTGCAGACCCCGGGGCGGACGCCTCGCTGTGCGGCATGGCAGCCACCGGAGCCTCGGGCACCAACGCCGTGCGCTACGGCACCATGCGGCCCAATGTGCTCAACCTGCGCGTGGTGCTGCCGGACGGCAGCCTGCTGCACACCTCCGGGCCCGGGCGCAGCGCCAGGTATGGGGTGATGGAATGGGGCCATGGGCCGGGGTGCCCGGCATCCGCTCACCTCTCCCTGCACAGGAAGAGCGCGGCTGGCTACGACCTGACCTCCCTGTTTGTGGGATCTGAGGGTACCCTGGGCTTCCTGACGCAGGCGACGCTGCGCCTGCACCCCCTGCCTGAGGCTGTGGTCTCTGCTGCCTGCACCTTCCCCAGTGTGAGGGATGCTGTGGGCTGCACTGTGCAGGTGCTGCAGGCGGCCGTGCCTGTGGCACGCATTGGTGGGTGCTGCTGAGAGGGAGGGGTGGGATGGGGATGGGATGGGATGGGATGGGATGGGATGGGATGGGATGGGACGGGACGGGACGGGACGGGACGGGATGGGATGGGATGGGATGGGATGGGATGGGATGGGATGGGACGGGACGGGATGGGACAGGATGGGGACGGGAGGGGGATGGTAACAGCGATGGGGATCGGGAGACCTGATAGTGGCCTTTCAGTATCTAAAGGGGCTGTAAGAAAGAAGGGGACAGACACTTTAGTGGGGTGTGTTTTGATAGGACAAGGAGAAATGGCCTCAAGCTAAGAGGGGAGATTCAAATCGGAACTAAGGAAGAAGTTCTTTGCACTCAGGGCGGTGAGGCAGTGGCTCAGGCTGCACAGAGAGCTGGTGCTGCCCCATCCCTGCGGGCAGCCAAGGTCAGGGAATGGGGCTGTGAGCACTGATGGAGCTGTGGGTGCTCAGTGCAGGGAGTGCAGGGAGTGCGAGCAGAGAAGGCCTTTAAGGTCCCTTCATACATAAAAGATTCTATGATTTTATGCACTGAGGAGAGGCATGGGACTGGGAGATAAAGAGGGATGGGGACATAGGTGAGATTTGCATGAGATGAGGGCAGGACATGAAGGTAGCAAGGATGTAGATGGGAAAGGAAGAGGATGAGGATGGTTACACCGATAGGAATGGGATGGGGATGGTACATGGATGGGAAGGAGTGTGGGGATGGGATGGGGATGAAGGCAGGGAGGGACTGGAGGTGGGAACAGGACAACCTCAGCAGCGTCCCCAGCCACCTCCTCCCTGCAGAGCTCCTGGACGAGGTGATGGCGGGCGCCTGCAGCCGCTACAGTCGGTTGGAGCTGCCGGAGGTGGCCATGCTTTTCCTGGAGCTGCATGGCTCCCAGCGCAGCCTGGCTGAGCAGCAGCAGCAGGCAGGTAGGGACAGAGGATGGGGAAGGGGAGATCTGAGCTGGAGAGGGGTGCCCATGGTGGGGGCACAGTGGGGTCCTGGGTGCAGGATGGTGACTGGCAGCCGCTGTGATCACTCTTCTCCCACCACTGCAGAGGAGCTGGTGCAGCTGCATGGTGGCTCTGTCCTGTCCTGGGCGCAGGCGCCAGAGGAGCGTGAGCGGCTCTGGGCTGCACGGCACAGTGCCTGGTTCGCAGCCCTGGCCCTGCGGCCCGGCTGCCAGGTGAGGTCTGGCAGCGCCGCGTCCCCTCTTTGTCCCCATCCCTGAGCCCATTCCCGGCACCACATCCAGCCATACCCACCCAGGGCTACTCCACCGACGTCTGCGTGCCCATCTCCCGCCTGCCCGACGTCGTGCTGGAGACCCAGCGGGACCTGCGAGACTCTGGCCTCACTGGTGAGCACCACCACCACCACTCTCTGCTGGGCACCGTGCCCCAAGCCCCGCTCAGCCCTGTCCCCGCAGGCCCCATGGTGGGACACGTGGGCGATGGTAACTTCCACTGCATCCTCGTCTTCCGTGCTGACGACCCGGATGAGGCGCAGCGCGTGCACGACTTCACCGAGCGCTTGGGCAGGTGGGGCTGCAGCACCGGGTGGGCACGGGGCTCCCGGGACGGCCACAAGATGACAGCCACGTCCCTGTTCCCAGGCGGGCGCTGGCTGCGGGCGGCACCTGCACCGGGGAGCACGGCGTGGGGCTGGGCAAGCGGGCGCTGCTGCGCGAGGAGCGGGGTGCCGTGGGGCTGGCGGCCATGCGCCGCATCAAGGACGCCCTGGACCCCCTCCATCTGATGAACCCCGGCAAGGTGCTGTGATCACCCCAACCGTGGCAAGGCATGGCGCATCCACCCATCCTCCCACTTTTTGGGGACCTGGGGGGGGCTCCGGTACCCCCCTCAACGGTCCCCCGTTTCACCAAGAATGCCAGTGAAATAAAATAACAGTGAATATTTTATTGAACATTGTTTTAATACCATATCAAAACACCTTGACTAATGAAGGAAGCTCCCCCAAGCTCTGAACTCGTTTCCCCCCCCCATTTGTTTTTTTAATATATAAATACAGAAACGTTTCCCGCGGGGGCACGGCCACCGGCAGGGGAGGTCTCACCAACGACAACGCGCCCGCCGCGCCAGGAGGGGACGGGGATGGGGGCACGGCCATAAAACAGGGGGTCCTCACCTGCCGGCCGCTGGCGGGGCCCAAGTAGGACCCCCAGGTCCCCTCCTCAAAGGGTTCGGCCCGAAGGCGACGGGTTGGAGGGGAGGTTTTGGCAACGGCGGGGGGGCGGGGATGCTGCGGCTGTCCAGTCTCTGAGTGGTTATAGCTGAGTTAAAGAGTGACCAGTCTGTAAACATCACCGGGGCAGGGAAGCTCAAATCGAAGAACACGCCAGTCAACACGAAGCTTCATTTAATATATTTTTTTTTTCTCGGTTTTGTCTGTTTTCTCTGTTTTTTTTTTTTTTTTTTGTTGCTGTTTTTGTTTTTGTTTCTTTTTTTTTTCCTTTTTTCTTTTTCTCATTGTAAACACTTGAAAGACAGACCCCGCTATGGGGCAGAGCGGCGGCCCCGCTCCCGGCGTGGGGCAGAGTCCCCATCACGCGCTGCCGGGGCCGGGCTGGAGATCTCCAAAAGGGAGACGGGAGAGAGGAGGAAATTCCCGTGTAGTCAGTGCAAAAACCGAGCAGAGCCCGCGGGCGCCAGGCGAGCCCGGTGAGAAGTGCCGCGTGCTCCGTTTGGCCGCTGTCCCCGGCAGCGCCGCTCCACGCGGGGAGAAAAGCCAAACATCATGGCAGCGTTGGGCCGAGGACGGCGGCTCCCTCGGTGCTGGATCCCTCCTCGTGGCTGCAGGGAGAGCGGGTTGCTTTGCTCTTCTCACACTGTCTCTCCTGGATGTTCCACGGTTTGGTGTTGTGGTGGGTTGGTTGGTTGGTTGGTTGGTTGGTTGGTTTTTTTTTTTTCTAAGTTAAAAAAAAAAAAAAGACGGAAAATAAAAATAATAAAATAAAAAATTCGCCGTTGTCCCGAGTGGGTTCAAGTTTCTGGTTGGTTGTTTCTTTTTTTTGAGTTTTCGTCGTCTGTGAGGAATTGAACGTCAGCCCAAAAGTCCAGGCAGGGCGGGAGGGACGGGGAGAGGAGGTACAGCAGGTAGCAAGGTGCCCTGCGGAGAGACGAGGCCACATCAGCACAGCATGGTGCACGGCACCACGGCCGGCTCACACACCCGCAGCCCTGCTCACCCCTTCTCACCTCCCTCTCCCCACCCCGCCGTGGGCTCACCTTAGAGAGAAGTCAGCAAGCACGCCCAGCAGGTCAATCAGAAGGATGCTCTGGGCAAGATCTGTTCACTTCAAACCAGGAATCTATACAGCTGGAGAAAGGACAGCGGGTCAGCTTCGGTCCCAAGCCCAGGGCTGCCCCTGCCTCCCCGCCACCACAGCTCCCTGTGCCCACGTACCTTTTGTGATAAATGCAGAGGCAGGGCAGCCTGGCTATCGTGTCCCCCTGCAGCAGCTCCTCCAGGCAGATCACACACTCGCCGGCATCCTTGGTCAGCACATCATCTGGAGAGGAAGAGAGAGCACCGGTGAGACACGGGTGTTGTGTCCCTGCCCAGGGCGAGGCTCATCCCCACATTCCCCACTAAGCTGAGCTTCGCCCCACCTGCCCTCACCCCTGCTGGGCAGGATACCGGGACGGCACGGCCCCGCTGGGCACAGCACACTGTGGTGAGCAGCACAGGGCTGTGCTATGAAGGGTCCCAAGGAAAAGCAGCGGACGCAGCGAGCAGCTGGAGCGCAGCCCTCTTGGCACGCTGCAGCCCCAGCCTGCACCTCCTGCCTGCTCACAAAGTCCCCATGCTGGCAGGCCACCGTGCCCACCCCAGCCCTTACCGTTGTAGGAGAGGCGAGGTTTGCTCAGACACATGATAAAGTGCATTTCCATCTCGTCAGAAGCCACGGATTTGGAGCAAATGGGGCACTTGAAACCTGGAAGGAGAGCAGAGGGAAGAGCTCCTGAGCCAGGGGGGAGGAAGGAGAGCCCAGCCGCATCGCAGGGAGCACGGAGGGTCCCCCACCTGCATGGTGCCACTGCCCCCACGCTGCGCCTGCCGGCTGCATGCTCATCCTGCGCGCGGTGCTCCGCACAGCCAGCACAGGGACAGCCACCCAGCCGGCGTGCCGCTCGTCCCCCAGCCCTGCGCAGAGGGCAGGGGAGCCAGCCAGGGTGCAGCACACGTGGCCCCAGCTGCTCCCAGGCATTAAAGGGCGAGGATCACGCAGCACCCAGGGACGTGTCCCCCCCCATGACAGCCAGCTCTGTCCACCCAGGAGGCGCCTGCAGCCATTCCACATCCCCAAGGCCCCCAACACCACCCTGAGCTCCGCCAGGCCCTCTGGACTCTGGTTTCAACAACAGTGTGGCTCACCCCTCTCCCCCATCCCTCTCTAAGCCCACTCCAATGCTGTCCCCTTTCTCTGCTCCCCAAGCCCATGGTTTTGCATCCTTCCAGCTCCTCAGAGACACCTCCTAACACAGGGACCCAGCTCCTGTGGGCACTCTGCCTTACAGCACGCGCACGCTGCTGTGAGCAACATGGCTGTGACCGGGAGCAGAACCCCAACGGAGCTGCAGGTGCCCAGGGCTCCTGCACTCTGTGCTCAGCCCTGAGTTTGAGCAGATGTAGCCCAAGGCATGCAGCCATTGCCGTGGATTTGCACCAGAACGCCGAGCAATCCCTGCCCGCAGAGATGGAGAGGGTAACATAAGGACCCGGCTTCTAAAAGCAGATCAGGTTTGACTGCAGTGCCGCTTAAGAGCTTTTTTCATATATATGCAAAGCCTGTACAGGAAAGAAAGGGAACGTACACAAATGAGGATGAATTGAGTTCCTGTTTGCCACCGAGTGGATGGGGCTGGGGCTTTTGGGGTCCTTGGAATGGAGGGAGCCCAGAGGGGCAGAGAACTGCCCTGCACTTCAGCACTCACTAATGGCAGAGGTAACCATGGACTGCACCCCACTCCCCAAAGGATCCCAGGCCAGAGCCGGATGGGCCACAGCCGGGAGCCCATCGCAATCTGCCGTCTCATCGTCAGCCTAAATTTACCCCTGACCAATTCATACCTCGTGGCAGCAGCACCCATTGGCTTAAATAGCATTTTTTCCTCTCCTGAGTGTTTACCCTGCTGGTGTATTTATAGCCAGGGCTCAGATAGCCTCCCAGCCCGCTCCCTGTGTGGGATGCGCTCCTGTCCCCAGCTGAACCGGGCACTGCCAGCCCCGTCCCTCCTGCACCAGCCCCATTGTCAGCCGTGATGTCCCCGGGCGGCTCCGCTCAGTGACTCCTGAACTGGAGCGAGCTGCCAGGAAGGGCCACATCTCCATTAGACCTCATTTTCTCCAGCACTGGCATCGGCAAAACTGCGGTCCCCCCTTTTGCTCCACGCTGATGTGCTATTTTCAACGGCTGCCCCAGATCCAGCAGCACCCTCTGAGACACGCGAGGAGGGCAAAGAGAGGCACGCAGCCCTCCCACTGTGACCACACGGCAAGGACACGGGGTGCTGCACAAATGTAGGGCATAAACCCTAGGGAAAGGCCCCTGAGCAGCACGGGGCTGGGCCAAGGACATTCCTAGCTCTGTGTTTTATGAGATGGGGAGAAAAACAACACAAAAAGCATCTCAAAAAGGCATGAATCCCCCCTGTCTGGAGCAGAGCAAGGAGCACGATTAGGCTGCAGGGCTGGGGCTGCGCTGCACCCCAGCTGTCGGCACAAATGCTTGGCATGGTGAGAGCAGCTGGCAGAGGCGATGCTCTTGGGGGTCCCTGAGGTGGACAGCTGGCCCCAAACGTGGGTGAGGGGCACCACGAGAGGCCAAGCTGCGGACACAGCGACCCACAGGGACAGGGCTTCACCCCATTTCCAGGTGACATTTTGGGGAGCAGGTGGATGGAGCCATTGGGGCCATTTCTGTGTGGGTCGCTGTGCTGGAGCATCCACCTGCATTCCAGATGCTGAGATGGATGCTGGGGCTTGGAGCCGGCCCCTGGGCAGGGCTGTGCTATTTACTGCTTTCCCCAAAACCCTCATTAATCCATCCTGCCGGAGCCGCCAGCCCAAGCAACACAGGAGATGACGTTTAGACAGCTGCTCATGGAAAATTCAGCTCCCTCCCTCCCTCCTCCTCCTGCAGCCCTTTCCCGTCCTCCTCCCACACACCTCAAAAAAGAGGAGGGGAAGGGCTCAGCTATTCCTCCCACTAGGAGGCTCAGGGGAGGCCCCTGTGATGCAGGATGGGCTGTCAGCACCAGCCCTGGCATGGATGGCACGGGATCCCACTGCACCCCATCAGCATGGGGTCTGAGGACAAGGCATCCTGCAGGAGGCTTTGAGGAAGACAAGGGCTTTCCAGGGCTGCGAGGCACACGCATTGCTGGGTGACCTCATCTCTCCAATGGCTCGCTCTAGAAACCATGAGCAAGCAGCACTCGTGGCCCTCCAGGGGCTGGTGCCCTCAGAGTATTTTTAGGAAGGTTACATGGTTAATTTTAGAGAGCCAGGCAGAGCAGAGCTGGGAACCTCTGAATCTTCCAGCAGGCCCTAAAAGCACTGAAAAAGCCCCACAGTTAATGCTGCCAGTGCCAAAAGCAGCACTACATCATCCTAGGGCTCTGGGAGGGCAAAGGCACATTTTCAATCAAAATGAGCTGCCCCGCATCAGGTGAGGATGTGGCCAGGCAGGAGAAACAAGAGAACTATTGGGTCCCACTGGAGATGTGACACCCCACGGGCCTCTGGCCTTCAGGCTGGTGTGTAACACCCAGCCACAGCTTCCCAAGTGACATGGGAACAGACAAAAACCAAAAAGCACCCTTGGCTCAGCTCCTGCCTAAGCAAATGCCAAAACCGCTTTGATAGGTGGCTGAAGAAGCCCCTGATTCAGTGCCCACCCAGCACAGCCCCACAGGACACGGGGTGCCGTGTGCCCACATTGCCATGGTGGTGTGGGTGGCAGCACGGGGTGCATGCAAGCAGGGACACGTAGGCAGGAAGGAGCCGAGCACTCCAGCCTTGTTCCTAAGGGCCATGCAGGCATCCTTCCTCCTGATTCATGGCTGTGGGGAGGTGCAGAAAGCCAGAAGGGCAGGGTCAGGGTGGGAAGGAAGCATCCCACCTTCCTGGGGTGTGGAGATGGGACACGCAGCAGAGATGCCGGGTGGCAGTGCACACAGAAGCCCTTCTGTGGCCACAGTCACACTTGCCAAACATAAGTCCTGATGTCACAGGTGGTATCTCCCTCCTGCACCGCACGCTGTGCTCCCTCCAGCCTGGGCTTGGAACTGCAGCCTGCAGTCCCTCTGCCTCCCAGCCAGCTCTGTGCTACCGCAGGAACACCCCCAGTGCTGGGAACAGGCTGCCTAAGGAATAGCACACAGCTAATTTTAGCATTCCCCAGAACAGCAACGCAAAGCAGAGGAGTCCTGCATCCAAAGGCCAGCTCGAGAGACTGCTTTTTGCCTGCAGAATATTTCACATGTGAAGGAGATGGGCTGACTGTGAGCACCACCAGCAAGGCATCACCTTGGGAGGCAGTGATGGGCTCAAGCTGCCACACAGCACCCAGGACACCACTTCTGTGCCCCACAGAATGCTCCCCCACAGCACCCGAGGCAGAAGGGCAGCTCCACCTCCCTCCAGATGGGAATTTAAGCGCCGTGGATAAGGACAGCCTTCCCTCATCCTCCCCAGCCACATCTGTACAGAGACCTGTGATGGATGGTCTGAATGGTGGATCTCATTCCACTGCAGCACTTCCAACAAAACGCAACTCCATCACTAACAAAGCCAGGCTCCCAAATGAATTACTCCATCACAAGAAATGCAGGTTTTCCCCTCAATAGCCTTCTCCAAAAACCCACCCCCAAAGCTTTACTGTATCAGGCTCCAATGCAATTCTCCAGGCTTTAAGCCCACAGAGCTGCCAGAAACACAAGGCCATGGGGAACATGGGACTTCCTGGCTGCCTCCCAGCCCCCGGGCATCAAACCTGAGCCCCCAGAGAGCTGCTCCCTGCTCCCCACCACCTGTGGGGCCCAAAACTCATCCAAACCAACCCTGTGCACACGGCTGCTACCAGCTGAGTGCTTGGGGTTGCATGGGAGGACGTATCAGACCTCAGGGAGAGGGCCAGGCTGGAGGCATAGGCAGAAGCCCTTACAAATCCCCCGCTGCTGCGTTCCTCCTCGTGCCTTGCAGGCAGCTGGGCCTCTAAAAATACCACTGTTGTCACGTCAGCCTTTCTGCCAGGGATGGAAACAGTGCTGAGCCGCTCTGGTTCAATTCCTCATGCCGCGGTGCCTTGGCAGGGCCTGGCCCGGTCCCACTGCTCTGCCTGGCAGGGGATCGCCCCTCTGTCACCAGCGTGGCCTCAGCAAGCTGGACGGGAAGCTCAGCCCTCGGAAATTCCTGCTAAAATCAGCAGAAGGGTCAATCTTTCCACTGCTCCCCTGCAAGGCCGCCGCGCAGAGCACGTGGTCTCACTCCTCCGCCGCGAGCGAGAGGCCCACAGCTGCGTGAGCAGCCTGGAACTCCCCCTCTGGTCCTGCTCCACAGCCACCCCACCACCACCAGGGACAGGAGGGGAAGGAGGACAGAGCCAGCCCCAAGCCCCAGCTCCTGCAGAAGCCTTAGTAGGCGACAGAACCTCTCAAATTTTCTCCTGGCCCAGTGCTGAAATGCAGCAAAAGGAACGCTCCCCTCCCCGCAGGCAGGAAACACGGGTGGCTGGGCTCTGCCCACGGAAACGCTGCGCAGCAGCACGAGGAGAGGCCCCAGGCACAGAGCTTCCTGCAGCTGCAGCTCCACGGGGCTTCTGCAGCGCTCAGGGCCTCCTCGGGTGCTGCCTGCAGCAGGCACGTTTGCTCCTCTGAACTGCTCCTCTGAACTGCTCATTGGTTCTCGTGGATTTCCATTGCACTCATTCAAAAAGGGTTTCAGCACACCTGGGCTTTCAGCACAGCAGCAGGGTGAGACGCACCCCGCAGACACCCAGCAGCAGTGGGTGCCCCGGCACGGGGAGCTCATTCAGGTGATGAGCTGTGCCGCCCGATTTGGCACACAGCAGATTACATCGGAAAATACTTTTCTGTTTTTTTTTTAAACCCCTCCCCAGATGATTTTTTTTTCAGCATTTAATAGCATCCTCTCGTGATTCTCAGAGCCCTGCTGGCCGGCTGCCAACCCCAGGCCCACTCCTCTACCAAAGATGTCCACATCAATCGATCGGCAGACGAGGGAGAGGAACCCTAACAGTGCATTAATGACGAAGAGAAGCCTTTACGGTTGTTTGCTGGAACAAACATGTCAGCAAAACAAACGAGTATGGGATAAAGTTGCGTCACAGGCCAGGAAGACAATCCTGACTGGAAGTGGGTCAGCCTGGGAGCACGAGAGCATCGCTCCTGCATCTCTGGAGCACACACACAGAGGAGGGAGGGCACACAGCTCTCCTGCTCTGATTTACACGCAGGGTTAGAGGGGAACGAGCCCAACCAAGCCTGCTAGCAGCATGCTAAGCAGTGCCCAGGCACAGCAGCCAGGAGACTCTGCAGGGCTCATGCTGTGGAGCTAAGGGATAACAACCGCTGCCGGCTGCTCACGCACCACGCCAACACTGACACACTTATCTTCATCTCCAGCCTGCTAGCGTGCATAAAAGCCATGCCTCAATTTCCTGCCTTCTGGTATTCCGGGCTTCTTTCTTCCAGCAGAGCTGTCCCATCCCAGCTCTCTCCTGCTGAATGCTGGCCTGGGGGGCTGTCGGGATCGCTCCTGCACCGCTTCCCCCACAGACACCAGCACCAAACCAACAGGAAGACGGCCTGAAGAGCACCTCCTCTGGAAATTTCCACTGGCAAAACCAGGTTTGCCACAGCAGGTTTCTGCAGATGTGAAGGGCAGCATGCATGATGCTCGCTTCTTGAGGAGATAGTGGCAGGAAAGCCATAGCTGAGCACAGCCTCCCTCCAGCAGCTTGCTGATGAGCAAGTTAGAATAAAGCTTTCCTTTTTTGGTGTACAGAGCCCCTGAGCTAGGATCGTTAAGCACTGGTGAGACAATCAGCACGGACGCACCACAGGTGTGCCACTTGCCAGGGCATCCATCCATCCATCTTCAGCTCTTCCTCTAGCAAGTCCTTTCCCCAGGGCTGGATCCAACACCACTTAATGTTTCTTTCCTCCTTGATCCACAGCTGCAGGCCTGCCTGGCAAAGGATGCAGAGCAGCTGGAAGGCAACATCCCACTGAGCAGAGGAGAACCTCACCCCCTTTTTGCTCCCAGCATCCAGGACAAATAGCTTACTTTGTTGGTGTGCTACCCCTGATGGCACTGCACAGAAGGATGAGCAGCCAGGCACTTCTCTGGGCTAGCTGTCTGACAGGGAGATATGGATTTGCTGGAGCTTCCAACACTCGAGGGCTTTGGGCGATGAGAGGGATTTCCAGATAAACTTTAAGCTACTTACAGCCTCTGCAAACTCCCCGAGATCCTCTGATGAAGATGAGTAACAAGAGCAGTACTAAGAGAACCACACAACCCAGGAGACGTGGTGTTGAGCCACATGTCTCATTTTTCTGCATTCTTCCTCCCAGTGTGGGCTTTGCTGAGGACTCACCATCACAAAGCTGCAGGGGCAGGGTGGTCAGGAACCAAGAGAGAGCTCCGAAGTTGCACAAGCTGCTTTGTCATCTTCCAACAGTGCAAGGCACAAAACCCCACGCAGACACAGAAACCCCAGAGCAGTTTCACCTCGATCTGGAGCAGCTCACAGCTAGGAAAATCCCCATCAGGAAATGGGATCCGCTCACCCAGGGAGGTGCAGTCCCCACAGAGAGGGGGACAGAGGGACACAGACCCAGCAGCACAGATAAAGAGAACAAAGAGGTGCCAAGCCCACCCATGCATTCACTACTGCAGGCACTGTGTTACGGCAACAGCCCCTTGACCCCCCAGAGGCTTCTCATTGTCCTGCTGAGATCCAAAGGGTGTGCTTTCCCCAAACTGCAGGAAGAGCAAGCCCAAGGGAGAGCTTTCCCCATGTGCTGACCCAGGCAGCACTCAGGTCTGCAGCCCTGCTACTCCCTCCCTGTGCAGAGGCAGGAGGCTGAGGGGCCAGGAGCCTCTCTCCATGCTGTGGAATGGGCTGCACAGACACTCCCCAGGCACGTATCCTCCTGCTTCAGCCTGCCGTGCCCATGGGTCTCCTCATCCCCGCCCTCAAGACATCCTTTGGACTGAGCAGAGAGAGTCATGCGCAACAACATCAAAGCTCCTCTCCATTTACCAGCACGCTGCTGCTTAAGCATTTTCTGGGGCTGATGGAGTGGAGCAGGTCGATGGGAGAAGAAAGGAAGGAGCGTGTGCTGCCAGCCTGCCCTGCTGCAATCATGGAAGGCTTGCTAACATTCCTGCTATCCTAAGCTGGCCTCCTTCCTCTCTCCTTACAGTCTCCAGATGATCCATTAACCTCTTACACTAAGCAGAAGAGCACAGAAGCTTTATTAGCTCCAACAAGTTTTCCAAACGGTTGTTAAGCATCCTTTTGCTAATAATTAGCAAAAGGGAAGAAACACCACCAGGAGAGGCTTTGGCACAGACCGAACGGCTCTCACTGCCGCTCGTGCACACTTCAGTGCAGCTCAAACACTCTCAGAGGGCCCCAAAAGAGGCACCAGAGAGACCCATGGCTCTTGCAGCAGCCCCCCACTGTGTTTCTCCAAGGGCAGTGGGCTCCATCATTGCACCAATCCACATCAGGGCTGCAAACAGCTCACTCCATTTTGCAGTCGGCTTATTTTTACCATCAGCTTTTTGCCTCTTGGCACTGTAGTTTGAGGAGTACCACTGAAATGTCACAGGTTGTGAGCAACCACCTCTACACACAGCTCAGTGATGAGGTGTTCCTGCAGTACAACCTTCATATAGGAGCACCAGGCTCACCCAAAGCTTGGCTGGAGGGAGCAGAGCCCCTCTCCTCTCTCAGAATACCCAAAGGATGCTGCACAGCAGCACAAGGTCAGAAGCAGCAAGTTTGCAGGAGCACTCGGGCTTGAGTCCCCTGCTGTCAGCTTCTCTGGATCAACAGTGCCTGGGGCATCCTGCTCTGCACAGCTCTGAGAAGGGCAGCCCCCAGAGCCTGGACAAGGGGAAAAAGCCTAAGATGGATGTAGGAAAACGGCCCCCATGAGCCTTGGTTGGCGCTTGGCTCTCGTCCGCTAGTTCAGCTTCAAGCCTTCCTGAAAATGAGGCACTGTCCCAAGACATATTATGAAATTCCCAGACCACGTCATGTGTCGAGAACACTTGAAAAGGCAGTAAAGAGACCAGGCGGGAGAGAAATCCCACACTGTTCCAGGAAACGCAAGGAGACATCCCTGAAATGACTTCCCTCCAGCCACGAGGGAGGGGAGGACCTCCCACCTTGCTCCCTGTGCCCAGCCAGAACTGGGTCAGTGACACAGCCCTGCTCACACACACAGCTCTTCCCAGGCACCGGGACACCCACTATCGTCCAAGCCGTGAGGGTTAGTGGGGGGCAATCCCACCCCTCCCTCAGCCTCACACGTTTCCTGTGGGATCACCCAGCTGGCTCCCCAGCCCCACGAGGCAGGCAGTTCCTCCACTGCTTCCTCCTCGGTATCACAACAGTGCCAGCTGGCTGGAACAAGGAAACCCGCTCCAGCCTCTCCCTGGCCCTTTACCAGGTGAAACAAAGGAGAAAAATTCCTACATCTCATTTTGGAGTGCCTTTTCCCAGTACCTGAGGCATGAGAAGTGTTGTCCCTCCCTGACACCCCTGCACACAGTTCCAAAAGCAGCACGAGGAGCTCCAGCCAGTCTTCAAGACCCAGGGCTTGAGCCCCAGCATCCTCACACCAACCTCCTCTGCTTCCCCCTTCAAGTCCTGTGAGGATGGCACATCCCTAGGGCCAGAACATCTCCCCTGCAGTAAGCCTCCTCCTCCCACCACTCATTCCTGCCTTGACCTTGACACAACCGCACAGTGCCAATCCCAGGAGCAGAGGGGGAATCGTTTAGGGTTGAGCAAAGCAGGGCAGCTCTCCTTCCCATGTTCTTTACTGGGCAGCAGGGCCACAAGTGGGGAAGCTGGGGGCAACCAGGAGCTGGGAGGAGCGAGGAAAAAGGGCCAAGGGAAACTGGGAGAAAGCTGGGGTTGGGGGGGAGTGAGGGGAAGGGGCCAGGAGAAAATGGAGAAAGCTGAGGCTTTAGGGAACCAGAAGATGGGGGGAGACGTGGGAGGAGGGCCAGCAGAAACTGGGGAAAGCTGGGGGGAATCAGAGGAAGGGGAGAGGGAAAGATGGGGGGAACCAGAGCTGGGTGGAGCAAGGGAAGAGGAAACCAGGGTTAGTAGGAACTGGGGGAAGCTGAGGCTAGGGGGAACTGGGGCGGGGGCGATCTGGGGAGAATCGGTGAAAGGGGGGAACAGGAAGAAATCAGGGGATAGGGCTAATGGAAAATGGGGGAAGCTGGATGAAGGGAAGCAGCAGATGGAGGGAGAGAGGGGAAGCGAAGAACAAGAGGAAGCCAGAGCTGTAGGGATCCAGGGAAAGGGGGGAACCGGGGCCGTGGGAAGCTAGTAGGGGCTAGTAGGGGCTAGTAGGGGCGTGGGGCTAGTAGGAAATGGGGGAAGGCAGAGCCGGGGGGATCCGGGGCGGGTGGGAACCTGCATCAAGGGGCCGAGCGACATCAGGGAAAGGGGGAGCCGGGAAGAACCGAGGGTCGGCAGGGAAGGGGCCGGGGCTCCGGCACTCACCGCTGTGCGAGCTGAACCAGCGCGGCGCGATGTGCAGGGGCAGCGCATCGGCCAGCGAGGCCCGGGCGCCCAGGTAGAGCATCCCGTCTCTATGGTGACCGCCTCCCGTCTCCTGGAAACCGTTGCCATGGGCGTACGTGGAGTCGGTCCCCGGCCCTCCGCCGCCCGGGGCCCGCTCGGCCTCCCCCGCCGCGCGGCCGTACAGCCCGAAGGGAACGGCGCCGGCGGCCGCGGGGTCCATGCCCATGCCGGCCACCGAGCTGACGGAGCGGCTGCGCAGCCCCATGGCGCCGCCGCCGCCCGCCCGGTAATGGCCGAAGGGGGGCGGCCCCCCCGGCGGCGGCACGGCGCTGTCATCCGTCGACACCCCCGGGAAAGGGCCCCGCGAGCGGGCGGCCGTGCTCTGCTTGCCCCCCATGGGCAGCGCGGGGCCGCAGGGAGCCGAGCCGCAGCCCCCCCCGCGGGGAACGGGGCCGCGCCGGGCGGCGAGAGGCGGCGGAAGGAAGCGGGGGAAGGGACGGGGAGGGGAGGGGATGGGGGGGGCGAGGGGAGCTACGGGCGAAAACCCATCCCCGCCCCGGGCATCCTCCCCCCGCCGGGCCCGCCGCAGACCGCCGAAGCCGGGGGGGGCGAGAGGAAGGGCGGGGGGCTCCCTCGCGCCGGGCGATCAGCTGCGGCCCATGGGGGCGGCGGGCGGACCCCTCCCGCGGGGGCTCAGCGGCTGCGGGGCTGCGCGCTGCGCCGGGCCCGGCCTCGCTGCCGGCCGCCGCCTGGCTGCTGGGCGCCGCGCCGGAGACAATGGAGGCCGGCAGCACGCATGCTCCCGCCCCCGGCCCCCCCCCGGCCCGCCGCCCTTAACCCCTGCGCTGCTGCCGGCCGGCGCGGGGCCTC